ACGATTTTCCAGGTGTTGCGCTCCTCCAGTGCCTTCAGCTCTTTGTCCATGGCTTCACGCCATTTCTCCCTGTGTTCCCCCCCCAGAGCCTGTTGAACCGTCGCAGGCTCCTTAGGAATGCCGGCGCCATGGACTGCGGTGACGAGACCAAGGATCTGCAGCCCAGTCTGTAAGTATCGGGGGAGTTCTGGATCCTCGGGATAAGCTGCTTCGTCTCCCGCTTCTGGGTCGGGTATGAAATTCGGCCCTACCCTTTCTGCTTCGTTGGTGTTGACTGTCGCAAGTGTTACGTAACCATTGTCGGCGAAATGGTAGAAGACTTCGGCGTTGTTACTGTCGCGAGGATTATCCTCATCCATGGGCACATCGACGGAGCAGTATGGGAGAGGTCCGGCTTCCTCCGAGGCGTTGTCGACGTTCTGCTCATCCCAGTCTGCTTCGTCCGCTGCTGACGCGAAGGCTCGGTCACCACGAAAGCTACTGGTGAGGTCCCGATTCTCGTGCAAGTTGGCGAGGTACGTCTGAAGGGTGAGTCTTTCGTAGAAGATCACATCACGTGCTGCTACTGTTTCCTTTGTGTGGACGTCGAAGATTCTCCACGCGTTGTAATTTTTCTCGATGCCGAGGTGTAGTCCCCACTGTGCCCGTTGCGAAAATCTTCCCGCTCGTGCTTCTGGGGGTCTGTACTGTACCATGCACCCGAAGACTCGTAACATTTTTGTGCTGCCCTGCTTCCCTGTCCACAGCAGATGTGGTGATGCGTTGTTCGGGAGTGACGACGACGACAACAGGTTGTGCAGCATGACAGCGTGGTCCATTGCTGCTGGCCACTGGTGGTTGGGTAGCCGCATGCCACGTAACAGTTTGCGCATGCTGTTCTGCAGGGTCCTGTTCATTTGTTCTGCGACACCTTGCTGCTGATGTGCGTAGGGAAGAGAGAGGAGTTGCTTGATTCCCCTTTCCGCCAGGAACTGCTTGAAGCGCTGAGAGGTGTACTCGCCACCTCCGTCTGACTGGAAGCTTTTCAGTTGCTTTCCAGACTCTCTCTCTGCTATCGATAGCCAGGCGGCGAATGCTGCGAGTGCCATGTCGCGGCTAGGTAGGTTACGATGCCAGACATATCGAGTGGCGGCGTCGATAAAGGTGATGGTGTAGTTGTAGTTAACTTGTCCTGGATCGCGATTGTAGAGGATGTCGCTATAGACCTTTTCGAGTGGTGCGTACGCTGGAGCGCTCGGGTTGTGATGTGGAGCGAACGGTCGATGAGGTAAGTCAGCTTCGGGACATATAAGGCAAGTCCCTCGTGCCTTCTGGAGTTCTCTGCCATCGGGTAGAAGTAGAGAGTCTTTGTCAAGGACTCCTGCTCTTATCGTGTTATTCAAAACCGTGTTGCTTGGATGTCCTGTGCGTGCGTGCCAGATCTCTTCAGAGGCGCGGTGTCCGGGTGATCGTTGGTATGCGTCGGAGTTGGAGTAAAAACTGGCGACGAGGTTGGCGCTTCGGTGGACTTCTCGTTGAGTCGGATTCAGCTGTTGCGTGGGTGTTGGTGGTGCTTCGTCGACTGTGACTGGTGTCGTTGTTCCTGCTGCTGCTGATGTTGTTGCTGCTGCCGATGTTGTTGTTGCTACCGATGTTGTTGCTGCTGCCGATGTTGCTGTTGCTGCCGGTGTTGTTGCCTCTGCTTCTGGTGTTTGTTGAATCGTTGCTAACGCTCTTGTTCGTTCTGCTTCAAGGATAGTGTGGGAGTGCCAAAAGCCTCCTGGGCTGAAGTCGGGGTCGAGATCCGGAGGGTGTGTCCAGTCAGTAAAGTTCACGATGGCGTCGCTGTCTGCAGTGCCAAGGTCGGGAACGAAGTCGAGGACGAAGACGTTGTTCTTCAGTACTGCCTTCCCGATGTAGAGACCGCCTCTCCCGTGATATAGCTTGAACTCCTGGGTGGTGCTGTCGGCTTCCAGGTGAATTCCCTTCGCCATCAGTTGACTAACACTCAGTAAGTTGTAACCGAGTCCTTCAGCGAGGAGTACCTTAGACATGTGCAGTATGACATTTGTTTCTCTTGACTGAAGCTGTACCACTCCTTGTCGTCGTGTGCGCAGGTTTTGATTGTTGGCGACCGTGATGATCACTTCTCGTTGGAGTCGATGTTCGCGTTGTACGAAGCGTCCGGACGAACACATGTGTTGCCCGCAGCAACTGTCCAAGAACCAAGTGTCTTGGCCGGACGGTTCACTTTGAGCGATGGCGGCGTAAGTCGGATTCGGGTGGAGTGATTCGCGGCGAGGCGTCCTGTTGTCGAGCTCCTCTTCTGGTGAGTAATGGGGTGGTGACTCTGTTATGCAAGAGTCGTTTATCTTTACGATGCAGTTGACTATGTTTCTTGCTCCTTGTGCAGGTTGTCCAGTTGAAGTTGTTGGAGCTTGAATCGTTGTTGTCGGACTTGCTTGTGTTGAAGCAACTTGTGAACTTGAAGCCCGCAGTTGTCGCTGTGGTGTTGTCTGACGAGACGGGCAGTGCGTGCGTGGGTGTCCTGATGTCTTGCAGATGTGACAAAACGGAGGTACTGGTTTCGGCTGCTGCTGTCGGTTGTTGTAGTTGTTGTGTCGTCGCTGAGTATGGAAAGCAAACTCCGGTGCTAATGCCTTTTTCTTGTGTCTTTCTTCTTGCAGGTCCATATCCTGCTGCTCGGCGTGGATTTCGGCGCAGAGTGCCGCTTCGGAGATCCTCCCGTGTGCTCGAAGAATTGCTTTGGTGGCGCGCCACTGAGGACCGAGGCCACCGATGACGACTGTTACGAAGGCGTCTTCAGAGATTGATCCTCCGCATCGAAGAAGCTTGTCGCGCAATTCGCGACATCGGCTGATATACGCCAACCCTTTTTCTCCTGGTTTCATTTCAACTGTTGTCAACTGCGCCATTAACCTGCTCTGGTTTACACTGTCTGTTGCCTGGTACAGGTTCTTCAGGTGGCTGTACGCGAGTTCCGCCGAGTTGCCGAAGTTCCGGTAAGAGCGAATGTTCTGCTGCTGGGTTGGTGTGATGTTTCTCAGTAGAATAGTATACACCATCATCGATTGATACGTATACTGTTGCTTCTCATACTGTGTGCCGTTTGCTGGATACTGCAGGGATCCGTCGAAGAAGCCGAGTATCTGCGCGCCCTCCATCATCAGCTCGAATTCAAAGGACCAGGTGAAGAAGTCATTTCCTTCGAAGGGTCTTGATGTCTGTAGTTTTAAAACATGCGCGAATTGCGACTGAACTTGTAACGCGTCCATTGGTTTGTCTTGCGCAGGTGGAGGTTGAGGCAGGAAGCTGATCGACCCGCGTTCGTACGGGGCGAAGGTGGGTTGCTGCTGTTGATTCCCTCGCGCATATGACGACCCGTCAAGGCTCATGGGTGCCGCTCCGTTGTTGCTGTTGTGTGTCTGTGCAGGTCCCGACTGCTGGTGTTGCTCGTAGAAGGACATGAAGGAGAATAATTTCTCCATCATGCTCTGGTCGAAGTCAGAAGGGTGGTTTGTGGGCGTCTCGGTTGACGTTCCCCTTGGTCTTGCTGCCGTGCCTTCTTCTGTCTGCAGGCCAGAAGCTGGTGGTGGAGTAGGAGTAGTGCCCGAGGAGCCATTAGGGGAGCTCCTTTCCTTGTTTGTTGCCATGTCTTGTAATGATTTTGAAGAAGTTAGAGTTTTCCCCTGTCTGCTCTCATACCATGTTGGGCTGAGAAAGCCCTTAGGATCTTTGCAGAGGATAACTCTGGGTAGGAAACTTGTAATAGCGGAAGCGTTTAATGAAGTTTGTGAACCGACCTTGCACTAGTGTGTGAGAGCAAAGTAGATTGAATTAAACAAGCAAATACAAGGTTTTATATAAGAGTACAGGGAATACGAATAGATAGATAACTGTATTGCTGTTGCGATTCGATACAGTGCGACTCGGGCAACTGCTCTGTAACGAGTCAGTTGTGTGTCCTTAACTGTCGCGCTGTAATTGTCGAGTCAAAGGTCGCTGACCTTTGACTTTCCGTAGCCTCTAGGCGGTTACCCTAACCTCCGAGGTTTGACTCGATGCTTCGGTTCGGAGTGCTTCGCTAGTGTCTTGGGTTTTGACACGACAGAGGCGCATTAGGATTTATTGTTCCCAACAAATAGCAGAGTGAATATAAAATGCTTGAGATGATAAGACCATGCAAATACAGCGATATATATATGAGTACAAGGGAATTCGAAACGACCTAACTAGCCATGTACTCTAAGGGGTACATTCCCTTATTCACGTGCATCTCAACCGTTCGGCGCGTACAGTTTTGAAGCTGTTCCCGCCAAAACCATCCTTCTTGCAGTTGCTCGATGCCGTTTGTTTTCGACGGTTCAGATGTGCTGTAACCGTCCGACTCTTTGACTCGATTCCAACTGTCTGACGCTTCGCGTTCGTTCCTGATATTGCGCGTGCTTTGCTACGGTGAGGAGTGCTTAGTAATATCAAGTATTACTATTCGTAACAGTTCCAAATGTTCTTGTTCACACCAAGACTCGTCTCTAGTAAAAAAATATAAAAGCACAGCACTTCCAACTTTACGAAGCGTTCCAAAAAAACTTCTGTTTTCAAGTGGACCCAACTGTATAGCTGCTGGCTTTAAACTACAATCGCTTTGGCAAAAAATTGCCTTAGCTTGTACATTATGCTGTGCTGCTGAGCTTCGGCAGGTCACCAAAGCTGGGTGATGGTCATGGAAATCGCATTACCATAACCTCGCCACTGAGTTCATCGCTACAATTTGCATGGCGAGCGACGATAAAATCGCAATCCTTGACCTAAACGGAAATGCACAAGCCAGGAATCCCGTTTTAGTTCAAGCAAGTGTGTAAGATAGAAATACAGAGTGAACAGCAGCCTCCAAGCAGTTGTAAGACCCGTCCACAAGTTCCCCTTCAAATATAGCAAGCAAAATTTAGGCCCAGCTATACAAAACCGGGCCAGATGCACAAGGTCTACAGCACTGCATTTTAACCCAGCAGACCAGGGAGGATCCGGGAGAAAAGATCCTCCTCATCCCCTGGTAGCAGCAACAGCGAATCACCAAGCCCCTCCTCTTCAGAATATTGCGAGTAGCCGTGGCTGCTATTGCTGCAGCTGCTGAGCCCACTGGTCGTGCCGCTGCTCCTATCGCTGTTCACCCCATACAACCACTGCGAATCGTCCTGTACCGCCATGCCTGCTGCTGCTCCTGCTGACGCCCCCCACAACCTGCCTATGCTCTCGGGCACATAAACTTTCCTGCCAGCTTCACACCCTCCCACGGGCTCAACACGCTGCTGCGATTTCAACTCGGGCAGGCCGTTATAATTCCATCCGCTGCCCGGGATGATGTTCGGGGCAGGACTCCCACTGCGAGCCTCGAGAGTGCCGAAGCTGGCACTGTTACCGAGTGGAGCAGCAGCGGCATTGAGGCTCGGGCCGAACCCAGGAGGAGGTGCGGGACTGGCATGGGCGGCAGAAGGAAGGTTCGGCGATGAGCTAGACCAAATTCCCGAGAGAAGAGATGTGTGCTGGAGGGAGGAAGAGGAGGAAGTGGTGGTGGGAGTGAGTGTGGTTATAGGGTTGTGAGAGTAGGTGCCAGCGTTGGTATTCGAGAGGGGGATGACGAGCGATGGAGATGGGATGGTGTATTCAGGGAGAGGAGAGGGTGGCGAGGGGGAGGGGGAGGGGGAGGCGGAGCGGGACAGATGGGCAAAGACAGGGTCAGAAGGACCAACAGGGAAGGCAGTGGTCTGGTGCGGTATGCAGTGGTTCGACTGAAAAGGGTGGGGAGGAGGAAGGGAGGAGTGAGTAGAGGAGGAGGTGGTGGTGGTTGCGGTGTTGGTGGTGGTGGAGGGGACGGGAGAGGAGTAGAAGGGGAAGGGCTGGGTGGAGGGGAGTGAGGAGGGGAGGCCGTGGGGATGGGAGATGACGAGGTGCAGGGCATAGCTGATGTCTCCCGAGGCCAGCACCAATGCATGTTCCAACAGGTCCTGGTGGGGTGAACACAACACATACGTGGCAATGCACGTAAGAATAGGGATATGAGGAATGAAGGATGGAGGAGATGATGGGGCGCAGGGAGTAGCTGATGTCTCCAAAGGCGAGCACCAACGAATGCATGTTCCAACAATTCCTGGTAAAGCGGACCAATATCATATGCCGACAAACAGCGGTGGATCAGCAGTGAGGATGTGTGGGAAGCAAGGGGCGTGTGGGATTGTACCTGGGGCAGCGATCCCGCTGACATGATCTCAGAGAGAGCTTGCAACTCGAGGGAAATATCCTGAAGGCAAGGAGCGAGTCACACAGATAACCAGGCACGGAGAATGAGCAACCAAGCGAAGACGGTAAGAAATCAGAACAAGAGCAGCCAGGAAACATAGGGGAACATGCACATGTTAACACCAACAGTCTGACAGGAGAGGAAGTGGGTTGACGATGGACGGGGAGGGCGAGAAAGCAGAGAGGGCGGAGGGGCGGCAGGAGCAAAGTTTAGAGGCGCCTTAAAAGATGGATGGGGAGGGTGTGAACTCACGACGAATGGGGAGGGCGTGAGAGCAGAGAGAGCAGAGGGGCGGCAGGAGCACTCGTGGTAGACGAGCAGGTGGTTGAGACAGCCACCCAGGTCTCCCCCGTGCACCAGCACTGCCTGCGCTGCCTCTCCCAAGGGGAATCCGAGCCTGGGAGAGAGAGAGAGAGAGAGAGAGAGAGAGAGAGAGAGAGAGAGAGAGAGAGAGAGAGAGAGAGAGAGAGAGAGAGTGAGAGGAGAGGAAGATAGTGAGGGAGGAAAACAAGTGAAGATTGTGGGTGGGGAAGAGACAGCACGGGTCACCTCCATGCATCGGCATTACCTACCTACCAACCCCACAGATGGTGATCACTTGTGTGGTGGCAGGGAGCGAGCGCTTACTTAAGCAGCTGGCGCACGTGGACTCGCCAGCGATTCGTCTCCAGGGCGAAGCGATCTCTGAGTCGACTAAAAAATCGACTCACTACATGAGGTGACAGGGAGCGAGCGCTTACTCTTGCAGCTGGCGCACGTAGACTCGCCGGCGATTCGTCTCCAGGGCGAAGCTTTTGAGACGTCTCAAATGTCGTCTACTTACACGCGGTTTTGAGACGTCTCAAAAGGTGACAGGGAGCACTTACTCTTGCAGCTGGCGCACGTAGACTCGCCGGCGATTCGTCTCCAGGGCGAAGCGATTTTTGAGTCGACTAAAAATTTGACTCACTACATGTGGTGGCAGCGAGCGAGCGCTTACTCTTGCAGCTGGCGCACGTAGACTCGCCGGCGATTCGTCTCCAGGGCGAAGCGATTTTTGAGTCGACTAAAAAATTGACTCACTACATGTGGTGGCAGGGAGCGAGCGCTTACTCTTGCAGCTGGCGCACGTAGACTCGCCGGCGATTCGTCTCCAGGGCGAAGCGGCACGCATCACTCCACGGGCGCAGCCCACCCGAGGCAGTGTTCCCTCCAGCTGCAGCACCAGACATATCCGCAGCACCACTAGCAGCGGTGGCACCCAGAGAGGCAGCCGCATTGTCAGCAGAAACACCAGCGGTGGTACCAGCAGCGGCACCGGCATCAATGGAAACTGAGCCCATGCCCAGATTTGATGCATTTCTGCCCTTGCTCGCCTCTCCTGCTGCTGCTGCAACACTCTCTGCAACCACCAGCTTATCCCGGGGCTGCTGCTGCGGCTGCTGCTGCTGCTGCTGCTGTTGCTGAGACTGCTGCTGCTGCTGTACCTGCAAATCTGCTTTCTCTCGCAACCTCTCCTGCACGCCCACATCACCAACCGCCCTTCCGCTCCCACTCCCCTCCCCACTCAACGGCGCTTCCGAACCCACGACGCTGGGCTCGCCAGCCGGCTCTGCTGGGCTGGAGGCAGGCTCGGTGACAGGCTCGGCAGGGAGGTGGTCGGCGCAACTGCCCATGCTGGCGGAGGGGGAGAGGCTGGCCATGGCGCGGGGAGTGGAGGGGAAGGAGGAAGGGGGGGAGGAGAGCCCTGAGGTCGTTGAGAATTCGCACTCAGTTGGTGTGGAGGAGGAGGATGAGGAGGAGGACGGGGGTGCGGGATGGAGAGAGGAGTGGAGGGAGGAGGGTGAGGAGGAGTGGAGAGAGGTGGAGTGGAGTGAGGAGGATTCCTTGGTCCAGACGGAGAGGGAAGTGGAGGACGGGAGGTGGGAGGAAGAGGGGGCAGGGGGGTCTGGGGAGACGGTGGTCGTGGTTTTGATGGGCGGAGGTACAGAAGAGGAGGTGACAGTGGTATTTGACTTCCCTTGCGACTCTGTTGTCGCCCTTCCAGCCTGCTTCCCCTGCTGCTGCTGTTCCTGCTGCTGCGGCTGCTGTTCCTGCTGCTGCGGTGGCTGCTTCTGCTGCTGCGCCTGCTGTTGGCTCGGTGCCTGCGCCTTCCCAGCCTCTGGCCGAAGCAGCAGCGCGGCAGGCTTGGCTTTCCAGACCGAGTTCGCAGGCACGGCGGCGGTTACCGGAGCAGGCACCGCTGGTGCGGGAACCGATTGCTCCTTGCCTTTCTTCTTCTGTCTGGATTGACTCCCCTTACCACTACCACCACCACTACCACTCTCCGCTTTCCCCTCCCCTTCTTGGCTCGCCGCCTTGCTCCCAGCCTTGTCTTTCCTGCTCTTTTCCTCGCCTCCTGCTCCTCCTGCGCCAGGCTTGTCAGACGCCTTGCCTCCGGTACTGGCGTCTTGTTGCAAGGAGGAGTCCTTTGGAGACGAGACCTTTTCCGCCTTGCTCTGCCAAACGAAAAAACGTACAAACAGGTAATGAACGCGGCGGTCCAGACACCACGACAGGCAAAGGGAACAATGCATTCACATTCGCAATGCCATCACCAATCTTACCGCGCTCACTGCCACTACTGGTACCACTGCCATCATTACCGCCCATCATAATACTGTTGGAACTATTGTCGCCACAACTGCCGCCACTACAGTTGCAACTACTATCATTATTCTGTCTGCCGTCGTCAGCACTGTCGCCACTACTATCGTCATTCCTGCCGCCACTACTGTCGCAACTACTATAGTTATTCCGTCTGCCGTCGCCAGTACCGTCGCCTCGCCACTACTATCGTCATTCCTGCCGCCACTGCTGACGCCTCTCCTGCCGTCGTTGATGCCGCCACTGCTATCGCTTCCAGTTATGTCGTCAATGCAGTCGCCACTAATGTAGTCACTACTCTGCTGGCGACACTACTATTCGCAGCTAATCCCGCCACTGCAATCGCAACTACCGTTGCAACTACTGTCGCCACTAATCTCACCATAACTGCCGCCACTGCTCCTGCTAGTGCCACAGTCTAGGGCCCGGCAAGAGCGACAAGGCTCGCAGAACTCACCTCCGCCGAGGCCTTTCCTTTGGACGGTCCGGACACGATGCCAGGCGACGACGACCACACAATCACGGGCCCGCTCCCGCCACCCCCACCACCCCTACTGTCCCCGATACTGTCGCTGGTCCCAACACAACCTAATGGCTAAGGAAACAACGCTCACACAACTCACCTCCGAGGCCTTTCCTTTGGACGGTCCGGACACGATGCCAGGCGACGACGACCACGCATTCACAGGCCCGCTCCCTCCACTCCCACCGCCACCACTACTGCTGCTGCTGCTCACAGCCCCAACGGCTGCTGCTGCCGCATCCTTCAACCCCGCAGCAGCAGCACTCCAGGACTTAGACAAAACCTTCACCGGCACTCCCCCACTCCCACTACCCCCACCAGGCGCGCCTATACCCCCGCTTTTAGACGACGGGGACGTGGGGCCGGCCCCACCAGACGCGGACTTAGCCACGGATGCGGCAGCCTTGGCAGCGGGGGGCAGAGACGAGCGCACGAGCAGCGCGACCGTAGGCTTTGGCGCGGGAGCAGCGGGTAACGAGGTGGAAGATTTGGAGGACGAGGAGGGCACGGAGAATGATCCTTTCGACTTGCTGCCGTCGCCTGTTTTCCCCTCCTTTTTACTATCGCCTGACTTGCCGTCCTTTTTGCTATCGCCGGTTTTTCCTTCTTTTTTGCCGTCGCTGGCTTTACTGTCGGTTTTTTTGTCGTCCTTGGCTTTGCCGCCCTTCTTCGCCGCAGCTCCCACAGGGGCTGGCGGAGGCTCGGGCATCTTGGCCTTTCGCCGCTTCTTGCTGCAACGGAGAGAGGGGAGAACGGAGGGAGCGCGGGAGGAAGAAGTGAAAGAGGTGACGAAACAAAGAACTGTATGTCTTAGTATGCCGGTGTTTCTTAGAATGCCTAATTAAAGGGCCGGCTGAAGCGGAGGAGGTATGAGTCGAGGCCTAATTACAGGGCCGGCTGAAGCGGAGGAGGGATGAGTCGAGGAGATGGGCCATGAACACGAAATAATAAGGAAAGCAGGGAGGCAAACGGGAAAGCTACGCACAACTTTTCTCGCACAAAGTTTCTAGTGGACAGGAACACAGCGCAGGCAGAGACGGCGGAAAATGAACGCATCCGCACGCATTTGCTTGCAGAATAACTTCGTTGCGGCGTTTGAAACGCGCGGATACGGGGGAGAAAGGAAGGAAAGGGTGTGCAAGGAGATGTTGCACCTGTTTTCGTTCCGAGCATGAATCGGGTGGGACTTGGTGATCTGGAAACACAGGAATGCCACGATGAGAGGGAAACGCAAGGAGAGCCGGGGGGATGAGCAAACGGATGAAAGACACGAGACACAAGGCAGGACGAAGGCATTAGCCGCACGAGGCAAGAGACGCATGAGGTATCAGATGAAAGAGATGGAGGAGTGGAACAACGGAACACGCATGGAGGGAAGGGTATTGGTATTAGCAAATGAAGGAGAGCACGCAGATGAGTGCATGAGCCATGAAAAAAAAAAGAAAATCAACACTCGGTCCAAGAAGAAGGTGAAGATAAACAAAGAACAAGATCGCCTGACGCTAATTCGTGAAACTAGTTTAGTGAAAAAAAAGGCTACGAAAAAACAAGAACATACAGGGTGCGATCCATGGCAAGAAAGAAAAATGTAAGGAGAAACCTACACGTCCAGGACACGGCTTGTCGAACTTCGTCGCTTTGCCATTGCCACGTGGACATTGGAAGCCCGTCTTTCGTTGCCTGCGTCACAATGAGCAAAGGCGAAAGGACACGTAAGAATTGTCATGGTGAGGTCATCACGGGGTGATTGAAGGATTGGTGGAAACAAAAACAAAGTAGAGGAATACGCGGAGTTATGAAAAGGATGGATGAACTACGGAGGCTACTAGACGCTTGAGATAGATGGTGTTAAGTTTAAAGTAGCGATTCTTCATATTTCGAAGGTTTTTCCAAGACAATTGCTGCGTCGCCAAGAATTGGCCTTCAGATACCAGATAACTGGTTGCTATATACTGCTATACGTTGGAATCGCCTAATGCTTGCTGCACAGCTTGTAACATCCCTTAGTGAGCCGAGATGGAAAACTTGAAACTAAATCAAAGAGGATCAACAAGAGGATTCTAAACCACGCCAGCACGATGCGCTCAAATACTTCCCGTTGAGCGCCAAAGAACTTGACGGAGAGAGACGGAACGCTATCCTTACAACCTTGGAGGACATTCAAAAGAAGGCGAAACTGGAAAAAGCATTGACCCCGGAGGAAGCGTGGTTTCTATTCGGAAGTTTCTACCCTGTAACTACAGTGATTTTTCACAGCTACTGCAAAAATTCATCCCATCTATCGATCTACCATTTTCTGACCAGAACCGGCTGCAGCGAGGAGGTAACTAAAGGCGTGAGTTTTAAGAACCATACTTGTCCAGACGGATGCTCTTTAAAAACGCCTCGATGCAGTGTTGATGGTACACGCCTGAGCTCGCGCATCCTTCGAACGTGCACGAAAGCGCGTTAAGCTCGTCCTGCGTACTATCGCACGGCTCTCCGCAATAGTCACAAACTCCCTCGATATCATGCAGAGAATGACCCGCGGCTGGCACGGCGGGCGCGACTGGCGGCGGCATTTTCGCGATAGAACTTGCAGGAAAGGCTGCAGCAAGAAGCGAGATACAAAAGTGCTGTTGTTAGCGAAGAGTTAGTCAGGCAACACGGTGTGGTTGTCCTAAGCTTACGACGGAGAAAAACACGGAACCTAAAAGGTCGTCTGGAAGGACACGATAAACAGGATTCGGTTTCAGGAGACCAACTTCGAACTAATCAATCAGTTCTACGAAGAATGCCGCCTGCACAGAGCTAGCACGCAGCAGCAATTATCCTAAATCGAACGTGCTCTTACTGTGCAGACACAAAGGTTGAGGTTGCAATGCCGCGAATTACGGACCGTGAGGTTCCCGAGGTTCTCTAGGGTTGTTGCAATGGCAACAAGGGAGCCACACAGCACCAGCCAAAGAAAACCTAGATTCTTCCCAAACGCTCCCACTGCTTTGGCTTGCTCAGCACAGCACTGCTGTTCGGCTCTCTGTCAAGTTTTCCTCGCATCCCTCGTGTAGCTATCTTTGTTCGCTCTCCGTCATGCTCTGTCAGTCATCTCCGCCCTGCTGGCGCTAGACAGTGCCCCGCGCGTTCCGCCGTGCTGAGAGCAGCGGAGCAACTGAACCGCGAAAGGGAGCGCGTGGTGCGGAAAAGGTTCGGGGGACCGTTTTGCGGAGGTCTTGGGAAAGCATGTGGCGATACTGATGGTGACCTGACCTTGTCTGGAAGATGTCGGTCAGACGGTAAGTTTCTGATAGCCATTTCACTGACCGCGACGTTTGCGATCGCCAAAGTGACGGGTCTTTCTGCTGTATGATGTCAGCTTCGTGCTGATCACGCGTCCTCCCGAAACACCTTTCTAATTTACGGGCAGCCCCTGACCGACGGGCAAAGAAGTATGGATCATGTGTGGGCTATCGAGCCATAACGGGGATTTGGCGGAAGCAAGCACCCAATCACAGGCGTGGTTGAGCCTCGATCAACCCTCCTGAACCAAGCAAACATCAACAACAGAAAGGCCGAACGTTTAGGGTTTTGCTCGTGTCGTGACGCAGCTCTGGTTACAGTGTCAGACATGCTTCGCATGTGCGAAACTTTGCAGGCCAAACTTTGCCGCCGCCACCTCGGATGCCACGGAAAAAAACACTGAAATCGGGTGTTAGAAAGTGCGATACAAATCTGCCACGAAATGAAGTGTAAGGAAAATGTTCTAGGAAAACATCTCTATTGCCAATGCAACATATGCCACACATAACATTTCCTATGATATACATAAAGACAATAAAGGATTCAAAACACAGTTTACAATACCATATAGAAACATTCTCTCAGTTTTTATACTTATATGGTATATGATAGAGGGTATAACGTGATAAAAACTATAAATGTTTTTTAAGCGAAATGTGACAGTAATACGACGGTTCTGCTGTCTGATGGAGATATTTGGTTTCAAAATGTAGTGAAAGTGTAATTGATAAAGGATCATTCCCTTGCTAGTGTAGAAAAGGAGAAACACCTGTTGTTTGCAGGACGTGACAACTGTTCATTGTAAGTTTCAGTCACTGTGCGATTACGGGGTTTGCTTTGTCGGTGCACACGTTCCTTTGCGAGCAGCCATATCCATTGAACCTTGAGCTTGCCTTCGATCAAATAGGAACTCGCAGCAAGAGGCAACTCAGTGACTTGACTTCCTTCGCCAAAGGCAGAACCGACACCGCCTGACGCTTATAGTGCATTGCTATTACAGTAGTGGCTTATTGGTCACGTATTACCGCCACGCTTGGTACGTGTACGATACTTGTGCATAGGTTCTGCCTTGGATTTCCTATTCAATATAGTCTTTAGAGTCAATAAGCTTTGAGACAAGACGAATCTGATACAATTACGGACGCAGTGAACCAGCTTAGAGCAAAGTTTTGGTCTTCCACATCCAACATGAGTTCCATTATCTAGGCGTAGTTTTCAGGGTGTTTTCGAGCTGTACACCTTGGCCCGGGTCACACAAGTTTGCATCCGCGGTGGTTGTATCGACCGGCGGCTGTAGCGGCGCGGCCGCTTCGGCTGTAGCAACGGTGCCACCAGTCGACTCGTCGGCTTCTACTCGGTCGATCCCACGGCTGTAGCGACGGTTGGCGTTGTCGTATCTACGGCTGTAGTTGCCGGCTTTAGCAAGTTTCAGATTTCTGAAGTGTAGCTGTGGGTTGTGCTACAGCCGTAGGAGCAAGAGGAGTTGAAGCGGGAGTTGAAACAAGAGTTGCAACAGGATTTGAAACAGGAGTTGGAAACAGCAGTTTCTAACGATGGAGCAGCTACTAACGAGTGAACAGCGGGAGGTGCTTATAGCGGTGGATGGAAGCGAGTGTACGTCGCAATCACTACTTTCCTGCTTTCTATCACACACGCACGCACACACGTACACACACACATGCAAGCACCCAGACCCACATACAAGCACACGCGCATGTTCACTCACGCTCATCTCCCCCCTGTTTCTTCTTCTTCTCCAACCGTCCTTTCACGATCCTCCTCTCGTCCTTCCTCAGTTTCCACCCTCCCTCCCTCCCTCCCTCCCTCTCTCCCTCCCTCCCTCCCTCCCTCCCTCCCTCCCTCCCTCCCTCCCTCCCTCCCTCCCTCCCTCCCTCCCTCCCTCTCTCCCTCCCTCCCTCCCTCCCTCCCTCCCTCCCTCCCTCCCTCCCTCCCTCCCTCCCTCCCTCCCTCCCTCCCTCCCTCCCTCCCTCCTCTCCTCCCCCCCTCCCTCCCTCCCTCCCTCCCTCCCTCCCTCCCTCCCTCCCTCCCTCCCTCCCTCCCTCCCTCCCTCCCTCCCTCCCTCCCTCCCTCCCTTCCCCCCTCCCTCCCTCCCTCACTCTCTTCCCTCCCTCCCTCTCTCACTCTCTTCCCTTCAACGACCAAGTCGCGTCATCTGCCCAATTCACATCACCTGCGCACTGCCGCCCTCTCTCTCACGCTCGCGTCGTCAGCCAAGCGGACTCACGTGCTGCAGCAAGCTCGCACGCTCTGCGCACTGTCGGGCGATGCTGCCTCCCTCACTCGCACCCTCTGCGCACTGTCGGGCGATGCTGCCTCCCTCACTCGCACCCTCTGCGCATCGCCCGAAAGTACTCTCTGCGCCGTTCTCTTTGTCCCCCCCTCCCTCTCTCACGCTCACCAACTGCCAACGCTCTCTCCTCTCTGTCCGTCTCACCCCTCTGCCCCGCATGGACACCTCACCTGACTCTCAGCGTGCTCTCCCTGTCTATCTAGCATAACTCCCTGCCTCTTCCACATTTGCAGGCTCAAAGCTCGCGTTCGTTTGGGGCTTTAAGGATCTCATGCGCGTGCGTAGCTGACTGTAATCGTGCTCTCCCTGTCCGCACCGTATCCCTCCCTGCCTTCCTCTCTCGCCCTGCAGGTTCAGAGCTGGCGTTCAACTGGGCGTTGAGGAATTACTGCACATGCACAGCCCTGTGAGGAGTATTTCAATAGAAGGGATTCACGTCCTTCCCTCCCTCCCTGCCTTTCTCTCTCACCCTGCAGGTTCAGAGCTGGCGTTTAACTGGGCGTTGAGGAATTACTGCAAGGCCCAGGATCATGTGCGCCTCATTCACGTGCGCAAGTCATTTGACGGTAAGCAACGTTACGAGAGCGGAGGAAAGGAAACGGTGAGACCAAGGGTGGTAGAATAGAAGAACAGCCGGTCAGGGGCGTCTAGGTTCTTGTTTCTTTACTTTCCTCGTGTATGAAGAAGTGTTTTGAGACATCTCAAAACGCGTCTCAAAAGTCGGTGAGACGAAGGGTGGTACAACACAACAGCCGGTCAGGGCCGTCGAGGTTCTTGTTTCTTTACTTTCCTCTTGTTCCCCCTTCCCCAACCCTTTCCTCCCTTTTCCCTCCCCCCCTTTTCCCCCTCTCCCCCCAGACATGGCGGGCAAGCTCCCAGCGGACACCATAGCAACGCTGGAGGCACAGGCGGAGGCAGCTGCATGCGCTATAGTGATGTTGGAACAGCACTCACTCAGGCATACCAGCTCAGGCACTCAGGCAATAAGCCACTCTTCCCTCTTTTTTTTTCTCCTCCCCCCCTCTTTCTCCCCTCAGACACAGTGGGCAAGCTCCCAGCAGACGTCATAGCAACGTTGGAACAGAGCAGCAGGCAGGCAGGCTTGCCATTTCATACACTAAGACATTGTTTCCTTCTCTTCCCTTTCCTCCCCCACCTCCCCCTACGCTCCCCTCTCCTCTTCCTCCATTCATGGCAGGCAAGCTCCCAGCGGACGCCATAGCAACATTGGAGGCGCAGGCAGAGGCATCTCAGACTGCTCTTCGTTCCCCCTTGCTCTCCCCCTCTTCCCCCCCCTCTCTCCCCCCAGACATGGTGGGCAAGCTCCCAGCGGACGCCATAGCAACGTTGGAGGCGCAGGCAGAGGCAGCTGCGCGTGCAATAGTGGAGAAGTACATGAAGAAATGCGCTGTGGCGGATGTGAGTGCGCTTATATGGGGTTTGAGTGCGCTTATATGGGGTTTGAGTGCGCTTATATGGGGTTTGAGTGCGCTTATATGGGGTTTGAGTGCGCTTATAACAGAGGCAGCTGCGCGTGCCATACTGGAGAAGTACATGAAGAAATGTGCTGTAGCAAATGTGAGTGCGCTTATAGCGGATGTGAGTACGTAAGTTGACGCGTTTAGGTTGAAGAAGCGCGCTGCGGTGGACGTGATTGTGCTTATAACAGATGTGAGTGCGCTTGTACCGGATGAGTGCATCCATGTATGTAGCTTCTGGATTATGTTCTACTAGGGTGTTCTTTTCTGATGGGAGGACAGCAACGGACGAGCATGCATGTCACCCTACCTACCTCAAAGACCCATGCAAATCTTCTCTCCCATGCAAATCTTCTCTCCCATGCAAATCTTCTCTCCCATGCAAATCTTCTCTCCCATGCAAATCTTCTCTCCCATGCAAATCTTCTCTCCCATGCAAATCTTCTCTCCCATGCAAATCTTCTCTCCCATGCAAATCTTCTCTCCCATGCAAATCTTCTCTCCCATGCAAATCTTCTCTCCCATGCATATCTTCTCTCCCATGCAAATCTTCTCTCCCATGCAAATCTTCTCTCCCATGCAAATCTTCTCTCCCATGCAAATCTTCTCTCCCATGCAAATCTTCTCTCGCATGCATCACCTCTTCCTGCTCTTGTCCTTTGCCACTGCTCTTGTCCTTTGCCACTCTCCCATACCCTTGCCTTATCACAGTGGCTTTTCTCTCTTGCTTCCCTTCCCGTTCTCTCCCCTCCCGGATCTGTGCTCATGAAGAAGGGCAGCAGTAGGCAAGGTCGCCTTTAGCAAAGGGACGATAGTCAACCAGTGAAAAACCAGTGACGGTGGCTTTTCTCTGTTGCTTCCCGTTCTCTCCCCTCCCCTCCCCACCTCTCTGTGCTCATGAGGCGCCTCAAAAGTCGTTTCTCTGTTGCTTCCCGTTCTCTCCCCTCCCCTCCCCACCTCCTGCCTCCCCCCCTGCCCCTTGGTTTGCTCACCAGTTGGACTGTGACTAGAAGATAGCGGTGGGGGACGAGCGCGAGGCGATCTGCAGGGAGGTGATTCTTGAGGCGCCTCAAAAGCTTCCCCATTCTCCCTCTCCTCCCCCCCCCCCCCCACCCACAATCTGCGTGCAGCTGGACTGTGACTGGAAGATAGCGGTGGGGGACGAGCGCGAGGTGATCTGCAGGGAGGTGATGCGTGTGTGTGCAGACGTGCTTATAGTCGGCACACGGGGGCTGTCGCCTGTTAAGAAGTGAGCCCCGGGGAGTGATTCGTGAGGAATGAGTCTTGTGAATACAATACACCTGATGCGTCTGACTGAGTGTGTGCAGTGCAGACGTGCTTATAGTCGGCACACGGGGGCTGTCGCCTGTTAAGAAGTGAGCCTCGGGGAGTTAATCCTACGGCGCTGACGAAGTGAGCCTGTTAAGAAATGAGCCCTGGGGAGGTGCGGGTGTGAGTGTGATAATGTATGGAATGGGACGAGCAAGAGATGTTCTGGGGGGAGGTGGTTTTCAGGGGGGGGATTTCCAGGGCAGTGATGCGTGTGTGCAGACGTGCTGATAGTGGGCGTGCAGAGGCTGTCACCTGTGAGGAGATGAGTCGGGAGGAAGGAATGACAAGCTCTGGTGAGAAGCTCCCTCTGGCGGCTCCCTCTGGCTGGCCTTACGCTCTGGTGAGAGGGAGCTTCTCACCAGAGCGGAGCGGTAAGGTGATGGGACGAGCGAGAGGTGATATGCAGGGAGGTGATGCAAGTGTGTGCTGACGTGCTGACTGACATGCAACATTTTTTCCATGCATGTGTCATGTCGGTAACTTGTAAACGCGAGTGCCTATCTCCTCTCCCCCTCTCTCTTTCTCTCCCTGTACCTGCAGAGCTTTGCTTGGATCTGTCAGCGAGTATTGTGCGCACCACAGGTGGGTGGGTCACTTTCGAGAATTCTTAAAAGTGGGTGGGTCCATTATGGCACTCCTGGTGCCATTATGGCACTCCTCCTGGTGCCACAGTTGTTGCCAGTTGTTGCTGTGATGATCGTGAGTGGGTGCGGCACTTGGTGAGCGGGACATCGCCCATGCCCCATCGCCCATGCCCCATCGCCCATGCCCCATGCCCCATTCTCCATGCACCATGCCCCATGCCCCATGCCCCACGCCTATGTATGCTTGGAATGCATTCAACACTCTTCCTGGTGCTGCATGCCCCATGCCGCATGCCCCACACCCCACGCCTGATGCCGGATGCCCCATGCCTATGTGTGCTTGGATTTCAGTCAAACACTTCCCCTGTTCCTGCATGCCATATGGCTTACACTGACTGTTCCTAATTGCTTCTCCCTATTCCTTCCTCTGTCCCCTCTGCCCTGTCTGTCCCCTCTGCCCACTCTGCTTCCTCTGCTCCCTCTGCGCTCTCCCTGCCTTATTGCCTTCTCTCCCGCAGTGCATGCCCGGTGATCATTGTCAAGGCAAAGGAACCCAAGCCCAGTGCTTAACTCGGTGTTTGACCTCATGCTCCATCTGCTCATCTGCTCCCTCTGCCCCCTCTGCCCCTCTGTCCCCTCCGCCCCATCTCCCCTCCTGCCAGTGCATGCCCGGTGATCATTGTCAAGGCAAAGGAACCCAAGCCCAGTGCCTAGCTGGGTGATTGACCCCGTGCCCAATGCCCAGTTTAATTGTTGACCATGGTTTCCGTCCTGCTGCGGCTGGATTTGTGCATAACGTATTATTAACATACATGTATCTACCCGTTATACACATTCCCTGCTCCTTCACAGCCTCATTTATCCAATCTGTCTTGCCAAATCAGTTGTGGGCTAGAATGATACACACTATACACAGTACTGTTTCCACTCCAATGCTCTTTTCCCTTTGGCGATTCAGAAGTAAGGTCTACCTATGTTAGCAAGACTCAGTATACATGATATCAATCACTATCACTACTGGCATTGTCATCCTCTGTAATATCTGACTCGGTAGCATAATCAGCATCATACATTCCCTCTTCTGGACACACATCTTCTAAGAAGCTAAGTGCCCGCAATAGCAGTTGCTTAGCTGAGAGCCGGAACTTAATAGCCTGAACCTTCTCCTCTGGGAGTTGCAACACAGGGACCCCACATGCCCCTTCACTTTCCCCCACATCTTCTTCCCTCCTGTCACCCCCACCGCTGCCGCTGTTGTCCCTACTGCTGCTCCTACTGCTACCACCACTGTTGCCTCTCCTTCCCCTGTCTCCCATGTCACATGATGCATCCTCTACAAGCGTCTTCGTTAACAGGTTATAATCCTCTGTGAACGTGCTCTTGAATCCGGGTAGTGTGGCGCGCAGAATGTTACGTAACACGTCAGCAGCTCGTACGATGGAGCCTGCAAGCATTGCTGAGCGTGCAGCTGCCTCCACTGCCTTACTGTGTGGTCTGTCTTTACCACTACCCTCCCCTGCCCCTGTTGCTTCCTTCCCTCCTTCTACTCCCTCCCCTCCTTCTACTCCCTCCCCTCCTGCTGCGCCCTCCGCTCCTGCTGCTTCTAAGACGGCCAGGTGATATGTCTGCTGTTGCTTGAGAGTGCCACAGGTGACACCGTCTCGAAACACAAGGCGCAGAATGGACTCGGCTAAGACATGGAAATCAAACGCAGGGTCTGAAGGGGTGGAGGGAAGAGAGGCGGAAGGGAGCAAAGAAGAATCACGGATTGCTTGAGAGTGCCACAGGTGATCCCGTCTCGAAACACAAAGCGTAGAATGGTCTCGGCCAGCACTTGGAAGTCAAAGGCAGTGTCTGGGGAGTGGAGAACACAGGGAGAGAAAGCACAAGAAAAGGTATGATTTATCGGTCCTTGAGAGTGCCACAGGTGACACCGTCTCGAAACACAAGGCGCAAAATGGACTCGGCTAAGACATGGAAATCAAACGCAGGGTCTGAAGGGGTGGAGGGAAGAGAGGGGGAAGGGAGCAAAGAAGAATCACGGATTGCTTGAGAGTGCCACAGGTGATCCCGTCTCGAAACACAAAGCGTAGAATGGTCTCGGCCAGCACTTGGAAGTCAAAGGCAGGGTCTGGGGAGTGGAGAACACAGGGAGAGAAAGCACAAGAAAAAGGTATGATTTATCGGTCCTTGAGAATGCCACAGGTGACACCATCTCGAAACACAAGGCGCAGAATGGTCCTGGCCAAGGCAGGGTCTGAAGGGGCGGCGGGAAGAGAGGGGGAAGGGAGCAAAGAAGAATCACGGATTGTTTCAGCGTACTGCCACAGGTGACACCGTCTCGAAACACAAGGCGCAGAATGGTCTGGGATAAGGCATGGAAGTCAAAGGCAGGGTCTGAAGGGGTGGTGGGAAAGGAGAGGGACGTGACAGAGGGGTGAGTTGAAAAGAGAAAGTGGGGTGTCTTGTGCTGCTTGCTGCTTGAGAGTGCATCCGGTGACCCTGTTCGAAACACTAAGCACAGAATGGTCCTGGCTAAAGCACGAAAGTCAAAGGCAGGGTCTGAAGGGGTGGCGGGGAAGGGGAGGGGGTGACGTGACAGAGGGGAGTGCTAGAAAGATAAGGTGGTGTATTCGACTTTTGAGGCGCCTCAAAAGAGTGCTAGAAAGATAAGGTGGTGTATTCGACTTTTGAGGCGCCTCAAAAGAGTGCTAGAAAGATAAGGTGGTGTATTCGACTTTTAGGCGCCTCAAAAGAGTGCTAGAAAGATAAGGTGGTGTATGCGCTGCTGCTTGAGCGTGCTGCAGCCTGCACGTGACATGCCATGCCCAGAGCAGCCAAAGCAGCCTGCATGCTAGAGGGAGTCACTTTTGAGAACTCTCAAAAGCGACTCCCACAGAGCAGCCTGCATGCTAGAGGGATTCACTTTTTAGAATTCTCAAAAGCGACTCCCACATAGCAGCCTGTATGCTAGAGCCTTCACTCGCCATGTGAAGTCATGCCAATGGCAGCCAGAGCAGCCAGAGTCCGTGTATCCACATACCCCTCCCTGCCTATCAGAGTAAGTTACCATGTGTTATGAGAGCTGCTAACAAGGTCAAGTGACTTTTCACTCACCATGTGTTGGCATGCCGATAGCAGCCAGAGCAGCTAGCAGCCGTGCATCCACATACCCCTCCCTGCCTATTGCTAGTGCTTCCGAACCTGCCACCGCCCCTGCTGCCATGCCTAGCAGCTGCCGATCCAAGTCGTGCTCGGCTGTGTAGTCCGCCTGCCGAGCCTCCACCGCAGCTATGGCGGCGGTTACCGAAGCTGCAGCCGAGTCCCGGTCGAACGAACTAGTCAGCCACGGGTATTTCTCAGTATAGTCTGATTCATTATTAACATCAGTTCCAGCTACAGTACCAGCATCAGAACCCGTTGTTTCTGCTGCTGCCCCTCCTCCTCCTCCTCCTCCTCCTCCTCCTCCTCCTCCTCCTCCTCCTCCTCCTCCTCCTCCTCCTCCTCCTCCTCCTCCTCCTCCTCCTCCTCCTCCTCCTCCTTCTCCTCCTCCCTCCGTCCCTTCTGCTCCTGATGTGTCTTTATCTCCCATTGATCCTCCTGACGTGGCAGCAAGATATTTCGTCTCGTAGTAGTCAAGAAGTGCATCGGCGTTTTCAAAAAGGACGAACCGGTCAAACGGGTTGTTGGGCGGCACGAAGCCGTACAGCAGCAGGAACTGGGCGGTGTCCATGGACCCATAGCCCACGCTGATTGGCTGGCCTGGAGAGATGACGTCAGCAGCAAAGATGTTGATGTCAGCAGTGGAGGAGTGGATAGTGGGCTGACGTGGCGAAAGGGATAGGGGGGGGGGGGGGAAGGAGGAAGTAATTAGAAGAGGAGGAGAGGGTGGTTTACAAGAGAGGAATAGTATCAGCCATTGATGGTAGTGGACAGAAGGGAGAGGGAGTGAAAGGAGGAAGGAGGGAGAGTAAGCGGGAGGGGATATGGCAGTTGGCCAGGCAGGTAAGGTCGTGTCTGAGTGACTACCAAGAGAACTCTTTCACCTGCAAATCTTTCCCAGTGCTCGAACCTGCCTGAACCTGCCTGAACCTGCACATGACTGCCTGTACCTGCTTGAACCAGGCCATACCTGCCCGTACCCATCGGCAGCTGCCAGTCTGCCGTGTAGTAGAACTCGTGGTTGAAGAGATTCGGGAGGGGTTGCTCACCCACCTGAACCTGTAAGCACCTGCATGTACCCATCCGCACCTGCCAGTCTGCCATGTAGTAGAACTCGTGGTTGAAGAGATCCACCAGCGGCAGCACAATGTGCACCTCCTCCCCCTTACCTCACAGCACGCTCACCCACCTGAACCTCACAGTACCTGCTTGAACCTTCCAGAACCTGCCCGTACCTGCCAGTCTGCCGTGTAGTAGAACTCATGGTTGAAGAGATCCAGCAGCGGCAGCAGCATGTGCACCTCCTCCCCTTCCGCCCCCTCCCCTCCCTCCCCCTCTCCCTCCTCATCCTCCCTCTCCGCCTCCTCCATATACTGCCAAAACTCCTCCTCATCCTCCTCCTCCTGCTCTCCCTTCCCTCCTCCCCCCCTCCTTTTCCTCCTCCCCCTTTTCCCCCTTCTCTTCAAACCAACGGCCGAGATCGGCACGGATCGCGACCACACGATCGCAACCGCCCATTTGAATTCATCCATAGAAGCACCCGCGATACTCTCATCAGAACAAAGAGAAAACGCCTCCTCAACATACCTAATCGCCTCCTCTACTCTCTCTATAGCCTCCCCACTATCCAGCTCCCCCAGCATCGCCTCATCCCAGAAAATCGGCAGCGGCACATACCCCGGCAGGAGATTAATCCACGGGGAGTAAAAAGACTCCTTACCCTTCCTCCACTCTCTTAACAGCCACGCGGCTACAGTCACATCGTCGCCAGCGTGCTTGTAAGGGGCGGGCGGGGGAGGGGCGGGGCGGTTGGTGCGGAAATCCCACCCCCCGTGCAGTCGGGAGAGCCAGAGGGGGAAGGGGATGGAGGCGAGGGGGGAGCCAGCGGGGGTGGTGGCGGAGGCTAGGATGCCCAGGGGGAGGCGCGGGGGGAGCGGGGGAAAGGGGGGCGCGCAGGAGTAGAAGGCAGGAGAGGAAATGGCTAGGACCTGGGGAGACGTGTGGGGAAGTGGGGAGGGAGAAGGTGTGGAAGCAGGGAGGGGGAGGAGGCGAAATGAGGGTGAGGAAGGGAAGGGAGATATTGAATAGTAATACAGGAGCAGGAAAGTAATAACGAACAAAAAAGCTACTTCGAATCGAAGGACATCGATTGAGTCTCACCTGGATCTTCGATCGTACACCCCCTTCCACCGATTGGTCCCCATGCTTCTCCATCCACGTCAGCAACGCGTCCACCAATCGCGCTTCCCTCTCTGGCAGCGGCACCATCGCGGAACCTTCCCTCTCGTACGCAAAAATGCTGCCCAGATCAAAATCCGGATCTATTTCCGGTATCGAATCCCAATCGGATCCCGAACCGTGATCTGATTCATTATCATAATCCTCATCCTCATCATCATCATCCTCTGTACCAAACTGCCCATCACCATCTTCAATCTCTTCCTCCTCCCCATGGTCTTCCTCATTTTCATGATCCTCCTCAGTCTCATCCTCATCCTCATTGGCAGAATCACCCCAACCTTCTGTGTAATCCGTGCCCTCATCCACGTCAGCGCCAACCACGTCATCACCCACGCCATCATCCGCGTCATCCCAGCCCTCCAAATCAACGTCCTCATCAAAAGGAGACTCGTTATCGTGCTCGTCAAACTCTCCCTCCTCCTCGGGTACATGCTCCATTCCATCCTCAAATAACCCCACTTCAAAATCACCATCCACATTATCATCATTGTCCTCATTGATATCAAGATCATCGACAACACCATCATCCTCGTTATAATCAGTCACACCACCATCCCGCTCATGATACCCAAGCAGCTGATCCGAATCGTCGTCTGCTCCATGCCTAGAGTTACCTTCGTGGGTAAAGAGCTCTACTAGCCCATCACCGTCATCACCAACATCTTCTAGACTACTCCCTGTATCACCTACGTGCTCGAACCCACGTTTTCCCAAACGCGTCTGAAAAACATCTACGTCGTCGATCGCGCTGCTCGCGCTGCTCTCGCTGCCCTCGCTGCTGCTTCTGCTGCCTCTGCTGTCTATGCTGCCGCTCCTGCTTTCGCTTTTATCACTTTCGCTTAGCGTGGTCGGAGTGGTAACGATCAAGAAGATGGCGACGGCGAGGAGGAAAACGCGGATCGCGCCGCTCGAAGAGTCAAAGCAACCCATCAAGAAGCGGCTACGTGGCCAGCTCACGCGGCTACGTGGCCAGCTCACGCGCCGCGCGGGCATGGGGGGGCTGGGGTGTTGGGAGAGAGGTGGAATACTTAAGGATATTCTGCGAATCAGGAACAGCAGGCCGTGTACGCTGTGCGAGTGGATACCTTGTGATGCATCTCACCATTCTTTGCTAGAAGGACCAGCCGCCGTGCGCTGTTCAAGGATCAGAAGCTACCACTTCGACTACCTCTGACACACTGCCCTACCAGGTAACAGCTCAAAAGCGCAGTGTCCCTAAAATCCTGCCCGAACGACGAATCGAGAACGCCGGCGAGATGTGATTGGTTGAAATTCTCCGTCGGGTCACCGAAAAAATTTGGACCATTTCTCGATTTGTGCGTGTCATCCTTGCGCAGGGGCCATGCTAATCTTCTCTGTATCGTTCCAATTTTAACGGATGTCCCGAAGGACGACAATGTAGTCAACTGCAAACAATTTATAAAATTGGCTTTTGTTTTACAATGCAATTTGGGTCAAAATGAACCCGAAACTGTCTTTTCTTCCCTGGCGCTTCAGGACGAATGCCGAATTCTCAAATGCTGATTGAAGAATCTTGCCGATTCTTCCTCCTAAGTACGAGGCGCATCCCAAACGCAGAACCAGATGATCGTGCTGCAGGTTGATGACAATCGCTTCGCCAGTTAGACCCTTTCCTTTCGTTATGTCACTGTCGAAAAGAGTGAGCCACGTTAGAAGTTTTTCGTATCAGGCAGAACTCGGCGGGTTGTGCATTGGGCCAATCAGCACGCTGCTGCTTCGATAGAAAACTTTTGCCTCTTCAGATCTACGAGTTTCTCGATCTTCATAGTCGTTAACCCGCGGCTTTTTCTCCTCCTCGCGTTCCGCCATGGCCTTACCAATTCCTGAGAAAATTCGTGCCAGTCTTTCTCGCGTCGCGGTTGCATTCTCGTCCGGCGCGATCGGCGGGCTGTGCATCGGGTTAGCTGTGCCGCTGCTTGCGGCGGCGGGACTCATGGATGTTCTCGGCATCGCGATTCACCCGCAACTAACGCCGCCATTCGTGTACCAGAAAGTCGTGTGGGGTGGAATCTGGTGCGTCGAGTCATTACCCGTCCGCGGTCTCCATGCTTTCATCCATGCTCTCCATGCTCGCTCCCCATGCATGCCCTCGTCCATGCCTCCTTCTCTCCGATGCGCTACCACAGAGCCGCTCTTCCCTTTTCCCCTCCCTTGCTCACACGAACGCAATGAGTCCTATCGCACGTGCCCCTCGTACTACTCTTGCGGTCGTTCTGTCTTCCCCGCTCTCCGAAACAACCGCATCTGTTGCATCAATAGAACTCTTTCAAAGACGCACGAAACATACACGCTCTTGGATTCCCCCTCTCTTTCTCTCTCTCTTTTTTATGTTGGCACCCTTTCTTGTGGTGGCTCTCTCCTGGCCGGTATTTGAGGCGTCTCAAAAGAAATCTCACAGCACTCTGGTCTTCTTGTGAAACCATCAAAAGATATGTCAAGGCAAGGAAAACACCCATCTCTTCTGCTGGTACTGTCCTCCGCCCGCTCACTCGTTTTTTGAGGCGCCTCAAAAGCTGAGACGATTTTTTAGGCGCCTCAAAAAGATATGTCAAGGCAAGGCAAACCCCAAACCCCCATCTCTTCTGGTGGTTCTGTCCTCCGCCCGCTCACCTGTTGCTTCAGGGGTTTCATCCTGCTCATTCCCTTCAACACAAGCACGCTCGTCAGAGGAGCACTCTTTGGTACGCCTGCTTTTCTAGCATCCGTTTGTCACCTCTGAGCTTCTTAGAGTGATCAAGAAAATAATGGAAGTAATTTTCTTTGCCTCTTTTGAATCTTGGCGTGCCTTCACCATGCATGCACGCACCTGTCCATCCCGTCCCATTCCTCCCTCTCTTCTCACTCCTACTTGCCTCTCCAAACTCCCCTGTCCCTCCGCCCTCCACCTTGTGTCCACCGCAACTGCAGGGGCGTTGGGTCCAGGCCTGGTGCAGCTCCTAGTTGTATTCCCGCTCAAAGAAACGGTAGGTGTTAATCTATGGGCGTAGAGGTGCCTCAAAAGCGCCGACAAAAGGCAGCTGCAAGGGCGTTGGGCGTTGGGTCCAGGCCTGGTGCAGCTCCTGGTTTTATTCCCGCTAAAAGAAACGGTACGTGTTGGATTATGGGCGCTGAGGTGCCCCAAAGACACCTTTTTTTACCCTTTTGTCGAATTGATAGGCAGCTGCAAGGGCGCTGGGGCCTGGGCTGGTGCAGCAGACCCTGGCTGTATTCCAATCGAAGTCCCACGGGTCGTCGTCACAGCTTTTTGAGGCGCCTCAAAAATCTGCAAGGGCGCTGGGGCCTGGGCTGGTGCAGCAGACCCTGGCTGTATTCCTTCTTAAAGAAACCGTAAGTGTTTCGTGCCTCTCTAGGTGCCTCAAAAGCTCCGCCTTGTGTTCCCGCTTCAAGAGACTTAACGAATAGAAGGCGGATAGTGAGGAGCTTTTCGTTGTGTCTCCAGTGAAAGAGAAGAAGCGTGTGTTGCTCTGTTTAATGTGCATGCGTGCATTTTCTTGCAAAACACGAACTGAGTGCTCTATACTCCATTTTCCATCCCCCACCCATGCGCAGCCAGGGTCCCTCGCCGGTCTGTCTCTCGGTCCGCTCACGCCTCTCCTCGTTCTTCTCCTCAATGCCTTTGTTTGGGGCGTGCCCTCCGCCCTCGCCTACGCCCTGCTTCGACCCCCCTCCCCACAGTCCTTTGTCGGGTAACTGCTTCTCTCCCCCATACACCCCTGCCTCCACCCACCCTGCCCTCGCCTACGCCCTGCTTCGACCCCCCTCCCCACAGTCCTTTGTCGGGTAACTGCTTCTCTCCCCCATACACCCCTGCCTCCACCCACCCTGCCCTCGCCTACGCCTTGCTTCGACCCCCCTCCCCACAGTCCTTGTTCGGGTAATCTCTCCCGCCCTTGACTCCATGGGAGTGCCTCAAAGGTCCGCCCCCTCCTGTGCCCTGCTCCCCACAGTGATGGGGGCTTTGAGTCAGTTCAAAACCCATGGGGGTACTTTTAAGGCCCGCCCCCCTCATGCCCTGCTCTCCGGTCCTTTGTCATCTAGCCACTTTTCCGCCGTGTTCATTCCTCACTCCATCTTTCCCTGCTGCTCTCCATGTGTCCCCCTGCCTCTCTCCATCTCCCCCTGCCTCCGCCCATGTGTCCTCCTGCCTCTCCCCATGTGCCCACGTGCCTCTCTCCTTTTCCCCCACTCCGCATGTGTCTCTCTGCCTACTTCCTTCCTATCCTGCCACTCTCCCCACGTGTCACCCTGCCTCGTATGTCTTGCTTTCCTTCCGCTCCCTGTGTTTCCTTCTGTCCCTCCTTCCCCACGTTTTGCCCTGCCCTTCCATTATGGCATCGCTAGCATAAGGGCTCTAGGAGAGAGTGACCCAGACCTTGAGTTACATGGGGAGAAATTTTCATGAGACTAAACGCAGCTCACTGACAAATAACCATATTCTCTTATGGAAGCCTATATAACAGCATATTAAATACCCCTGTGCTCAAAAGCACTAAATCACATCCTCTCGGTACGTTCAATATATACTTAGGGCGTGTTCCTACAGCCCCTTATCAGGCGACCTCTTGTCAGACTTGTGCAGTTCAATGCGATTCAATATGATCGAATGTTATTATGCGCGTTTCAGTGCGGTGCGACGCGAATCTGACAAGAGATTCGCCTGATAAGAGGCCGTAGGAACACGCCCTTATTGAGACTAACGCCTAAAATATACCGTAAGTATACTTAGCAAATTGGAATAACTGTTCAGATTTCCTCGGAAACGTTCTCAACCGATATCACCGAACAGAAGTGAACAAGTGTAAGGAATTTTCTCGGCATTCCTTACGGAGCCCGACTACATCGCGTACAGCAACAGCTGTTGTTCGCCCATTACTGCTAACGGGACTTCGCCAACTTCGCGCGCACTGTTTTGCCAAACCTCGCACTGCTGGCCCGGCCGTGTCGGCCTACGCTTTGGGACTAGCCCGAGCCTCGCTGCCAGCATAGCACTAGCTAGCTCGCACGCACCGCGTTACCGTTTGCATGTTTCGCGTATAAATGTTCGCTCATGCCTTCGCTCACATCTTTGTACTCGTTTGACACCTTAGTGCAATTCTCGCTACTTAGATTCATCGCACCCGTAACAACAAGTCGCAAGACGCACAACCAATAATTTTCTTTCGCATAGGCTAAACCCTGAACTCCTCGGTATCGTTCTGAACCGACCTTACTGAACAGAAATGAAATCCCAATCTCAAGGTCCGCCGCCTTCGATGTTCTCTTCAAATTGGAGTTGGCCGACTCCCCCAACTGACCCAATTCCGTGGCTCCCAAGGGACGGGATTGGCTTGCGAGTGATTTGGAACTCCCAGGGTTGAAGACAGACCGCCATTATTCTTGTGTCAGACGCCTGTTGTAGCTCGTATTTCCTGAGTCCACTCCGAGTAATAATCGTCCAGCCCAGGCGTCAGTCTGAGTAAGGGCGGCCGCGCGTCCGTGACGGAAGCGTTCGAGTCGCACCGCCATGGGTGTTTCTACGATGAAACCACCACTCACGGCGAGTCCGCTGCACCCATCCCTGTCATACTATATAGCAGATCCTTGCCCCATAACTTTTCACCAGACGCCATCACTCGAACCAGTCTCCGCATTTCAACTCAACCATCCGAGCAGCAGCCTCACCTCTCTCCCCGCCGACCTTCACCGATCAGAACCGATTCTCCTACGGCATTCTGATCTAGCCACTCGTTGATTCTCAGAGGCGAATCTCATCCATCCGTTCTGCGCGTCATAAGCCGTCGCCCACGGTCACTCCCCTCTCCATCTTCAGCAGCCTTGAAAGTCGGATCAACTCGGCCGATCATGGCGATTATACTACCGTCGGTGCCGCGGTCTCCCCTTCTCCTCCTCCTGCTCGCGCTGGTGCTGCTCTCGTCGGCGCACCTCCCACTCCTCGCGCATCACAAAAATCCTGCGTCCAGAAAACCTTTGGAAAGAGTTGCTTTAAAGCTTTGTTAAATGATTTATAAACGTCTTGTTTGGTATGCTATTTTGAGAAAGTACCGTCTCCCCCCGGATATAAGCGCCACCCTAGGATAAGCGCCTGGCGCTTCTAATTGGCATATGGCGCTTATATCCCCTCCTCGATTATAAGCGCACCCCTTGAAAAAACTTGTTTTATTATAAGCGCACGTAAACTTTAAAATTTGAAATGTGTTCAAAAAGCTGTAACGATTTTTACTTTAGCAGGCGGATATGTTGCAGAATCGGTTCCCTTCACATTCGGACCCTGCACTGGATGCGGGTCCAGTCAGCAGGACCTGTCAGGAGCTGGATGTGAGTCAGATTGGGTGTATCTCCCAGCGCGCGCGAGAATTTCACAGACGATCCCATGTAACTTCGACTCGATTGAAAAGGCAAGCACGAGACCTACAGTTTGGTGTTAAAAGATATAAAAAAATATGTATGTCATTTTATAAACGCCGGCGCTTATAAATTTACTCGATTATAAGCCCACCCCCATGAAAAAACCTGTTTTATTATTGCCCCCCATGGGGGTATATCCGGGGGGATACGGTATATACCTTTTTCTGGATGCTTTGTCGAACGCTGTTCGCATGCTTCTGCGATGCTTCTCTGTTCAAACCTCTCAGGTGAAAACCTTCGGCAGAAGTTTGGTTGGAGTTTCCGCAGAGCAATTTCGGAGATTGGATCTCATTGCATTGTACTCTTCAAGGACATCCGGTTTAGTTATAATGAAGTTGGATTGGAGACTTGCAATGGTTAACATGTTGTTTAACAAGATGTTTAGTTGCCTCATCCTAGCATCCAAAATGACCATTACAGAAGCGTTGGTAAATGGGTTTTATTCTCAACAAAAAAGGCACATACAACAGCATCCTACACCCCACCCTCTCTAGTCAAAGATCCCCGCCAGTTAGGGTGATCTGCATCAACCTGCTTCTCATGCTCCCGTACACTATGCCTCCCACTACACCCCATGTCTCGTGCTCTAGGCCGAGCATGCTCGCCCCTACACCTAGCCCCCATGATCCATGCCTTGGTTGCGACCCCACTTCCTGCCTCTCTTCCTGCATCTCCCATCCCTCCTTCACTAATTGTGGTACTATTGCCCTGCCCATGCGTCCACTGCTTCCTCGCATGTCCAGCCCTGTCATGCGTCTGCTGCTCCGCCTTAGACATCCTCCATTCAAGCCTTTACTGCTGCTTGCTTTGTCCTATCCGGTCATGCCTATACTGCTGCGGCCCTTGCACCACTCCCCTCCGTAATGCTGTCCCCCTTTCTCTATCCACACGTGCATTCCCTGATGCCCCCCTTGCTGTCTCCACCAATGCCTCTCCTCGCACGTATTTGATGCCTCTCCTGCTGTCCCCTTTTGTAAACTCCACGCATGCCTCATCTGCAGCCCCCCTTGTCTCGTCACACCATCATTTGGCCCTCTTGCCTCCCCTTCTTTTGCCATTTTCGTGCCTTTTGCCCTTCCTCCGCTCCTGGCCCCCCTGCTTCTCATCCTCATCCTCATCCTCTTCCTCCTCTTCCTCCTCTTCCTCCTCTTCCTCCTCTTCCACTTCCCTCCAACTTCCCTTGCCTCTGCCTCTCTTGTGCTTTCTACCCTTCCTCCGCGACTGCCCCCCCTGTTTCTCATCCTCTTGCTCCTCTTCCTCATCTTCCTCCACTTCCTCTTCCCTCCTGCTTCCCTGTCCTCTGCCTCTCTTGTGCTTCCTGCCCTTCCTCCGCTCCTGCCCCCCCTGTTTCTTATCCCCCAGCTCCTCTTCCTTCTCCTCTTCCTCGTCCGCTTCCCTCCTGCCTCCCCTGGTTTTCCCTCCCTTGTGCCTTCTGCCCTTCCTAAGCTCTTGCCCCCCCCGTTTCTCATCCTCTTCCTCATCCCTCCCGCCTGCCCTAGGTCTCTTGTGCCTTTTCCTCTTCCTCCGCTCCTGCCCCCACTGTTCCTCGTCCTCCTCCTCCTCCTCCTCCTCCTCCTCCTCCTCGTCCTCCTCCTCGTCATCCTCCTCCTCCTCCTCCTCCTCCTCCTCCTCCTCCTCCTCCTCCTCCTCCTCCTCCTCCTCCTCCTCCTCCTCCTCCTCCTCATCCTCCTCCTCCTTATCCTCCTCCATGTCCTCCGAGTCGTACACCTCCTTTTCTTCCTCCTTCAGGTCCTTCGTTTCGGCATCAAGCTCAGCCTTCCCCCGGAAGGCCTCAAATCCTGACTCGTGAACATACAGCCCACGGTCGCCCCACTTGAAGCCCTTCACATCTGTGTTGTACACGGGGGTGTGGCGTGTGAAGTGGTCCTTGATAATCCACCGCACATTACGGTGCAAACCCCCCATCCATTCACTGTTCTTCCGGTGGGAGTTGGAGACGTTCCAGTCAGTCCTCTTAACCTTTGATAAGCCCTGGTCAATCTGAAAAGGCATAGCACAGTATGGGATGGAGGAAAAACAGCAACTTCAGTGGACACTCGCGTGCAGAGTTTAGAGGCTGCGCTAAATGCCCCACATACCATGCCGAGGGACTATAAAACAGCATGCCAAGCTAGAGCATACCATGGGTTGAGCAATAATTGCGTACCACCATGATTGACTAGGCAATGTGGTATGCTTTGACGCACACCCGGCGCCCGACACAGAAATTCCGAAATGCTTCCCGGACCGCATCTACAAACCGGCCGTTGGCAAACGGGAGCCCGTCTCTGTTGTTTCCCCACGAGCTGACCCACTGTTTCCCTCCTGCGCGCATGTATGACAATGCGGGGAAGCATGAGACATCCGTGATCATGCATGACATGGTTTAGGGTTGTCCAAAGGGTATGGATGAACATCGAGGGCGGGGGGGAATGAATGGCGAGAGGGCGGGAGAGTAGGGGTGGGCGGGAGATAGGGGGAGGGCGGGAGAGAAGGGGAGGGCGGGAGAGAAGGGGAGGGCGGTAGAGGAAGGGAGGGCGGGAGAGAAGGGGGTGGCGGGAGAGAAGAGGAGGGCGGGAGTTAAACGGGGGGCGGGAGAAGGGGAGTGTGGGAGAAGAACCAACGGATGGCTGTCATGCGGATGTGTTTGCACATGCGCTACAAGCTTGGGCGAGGAGAGCAGGTATGTAGTCGCGTTCCAAAGTGGGGATGCATTGGGGGTATGTGCTTCATCAACGTGGGGCATGCACGAGGGGTGCATGAGCAGACATGTCAATAGGGGATGGAAAACAGTCACGCAAGTACTCACTCGGTTGGTATTTTTTCCACATCTTCCGCTTCTTCTTGGTGCCCATCCACAGTTCGGCTGCACGCAGGCCTTCCACCTTCTTGCCGAAAGTGACGAGCACTCTGCGCTTGAGGTGGAAGCCATGTTCGTTCTTCCATGACGTCCAGGCGCGTTTAAAAGCGCCTATGATGTTTTTGTCTTCCATAGCCTCTCGCAGCTGCATCATGTTGATGATGTGCGTCTCGCTGATAACCTCATACAACACCTGCACGCGCTGTTCGAGCGTTGGGTAGAAGTCTATGGCATGGTCTGGCGCCTCGAGGCACATCCGGTCCCGCCCCTCTGCGAAATGAACCTACGACAGCCGGATGGATAGGAAAAAAGGATATGTGGGTGACTCCCAAAGAAGGGCAGAAACCAGAGGTCGAGAGAGTGGGATTTGGGTAACACGTGCCGCAGGCCACCCACACCACCACCAGCACCATGAACAGGGGCTCTGGTTGAGGTAGGGGAGAGCAGGGAGATAGAGGGGGGAGAGAGGGGATGAACTAGTCTGAGTGAAATCATATGGGAGAGGGAGCAGAGTGTGAGAGCACCGTACGGACTGCGTAAGGGGTCATGTTCTCCTCGTACTAAGAGTCACAACCCCCGCTGCAGCCCGGCCCGCTACACGCTGCGCCGCATGCCACACACGCGACCAGAAGCACCGTTTAGAGGGGCTCTGGAAGAGGAGGGAGAGGGGTGGGATAGAGAGGGGGGGGGGAGGAGCAAGCGGAAAGAAGGGATTGGGCACGTGGGGATGACAGAGAGGGCTGCTGCTATCTCTGCGCCGCATGCCACCCACACCAGACCAGCAGCACCGTTTAGAGGGGCTCTGAAAGAGGAGGGAGAGGGGTGGGATAGAGAGGGGGGGGAGGAGCAAGCGAAAAGAAGGGATTGGGCACGTGGGGATGACAGAGAGTGCTGCTGCAATCTCTGCGCCGCATGCCACCCACACCAGACCAGCAGCACCGTTTAGAGGGGCTCTGGAAGAGGAGGGAGAGGGGTGGGATAGAGAGGGGGGGGAGGAGCAAGCGGAAAGAAGGGATTGGGCACGTGGGGATGACAGAGAGGGCTGCTGCTATCTCTGCGCCGCATGCCACCCACACCAGACCAGCAGCACCGTTTAGAGGGGCTCTGGAAGAGGAGGGGGAGGGGTGGGATAGAGAGGGGGGGGGGGGAGCAAGCGGAAAGAAGGGATTGGGCGCGTAGGGATGACAGAGAGGGCTGCTGCTATCTCTGCGCCGCATGCCACCCATACCAGATAAGCAGCGCCATGAACAGGGGCTCTGGAAGAGGAGGTGGAGTGACGGGAGAGAGGGGGGGGGGGGAGGAAATAGAACAGTTATGGTGAGCTCGCAGAGGTGGGGCAGAGTGTGAGAGTATCGTACGCCCAGCGCCAGCGTCCCTGCAGCGGGGCGTACTCGGAGTGCCTATCACACCGCAGCCAGGTCGCTATCAGTGCGCATAATGGTACAAACACTCTGACCAGCATAAAGAGGTGGGGGGAACGAGGTGTTGAGAGAGAGAGCTGCAGCTATCACTGAGCCCCATGCCACACATTGCTTAACACTTAAACATACCCACCTTCAGCAGCTTGGGCTTGGGCATCCCACGCGTTCGACGGACCGGTACGTCTACCGTCGATGGGCTTTCTGGCGCCACGCCTGGATCGAGGCCCACTGCAGATGGGCCGCTCGACAGAGACGCAATAGGAGGAGGCCTAGACGGAGGGGTGCAGGGTTTGACAGGTCCTTTGGCTCCTGGCCTTGCCTTGAGTGCCGCAATTTCGCGATCCCGCTGGGCAAGCTCCCGCATGAGCTGCTCCACCATCTTGCCGCCAGCCACATTGGGCCGACTGATGCGCCAGGTGTGCCCATGCTCTCGCCCCTCCCCTCCTTAGTCGCCGGATCCATTTTCAAGTCTCCTCCTTCTCCCCTGCTATCCCGTACATCCCACATGGAGCCTTCCACACCGCTGCCACATTCACCCAAGGAATTCGCCCACACACCTCCTCCCACACCGTCATTGGCTGCTGCGGCGGCCGAGGGTTCGTGCCGCTTCGTTGCTCCCTCGATTTTCACCTGAACCGCGTGACCCCCCGAAAGCTTTGCATGCGGGTCCGTTGCTTCCCTGCCAAACCGTGCTGACCCCCAAGCGATCGGATCTCCCTTCTCAGACGAATCCATCTGCTCGCGTAACGCAGCATACGTGTCGGTGGCTTTCCGATCATGAGGGCTTGATGGACATCGTAGCCCCATGGACTCGTAAAAATCCAACTCCCGCTTCTCCTTGCTACGCACACCCACAATTTTAGCTTCGAATCGAGGTCTCTGGCGCTTGCCATGTGGTTTGGCACGACGCACACTCTGCTTATAGCTCTTCACCCGTCCTGTCTCCGATTTTCGCTTTCCATTGCCCTTCTTGGTCTTCCGCACACCCCTCCTCTTCAAAGGCCGAGCCTCCTCCTCATCCTCGCTCTCCGGCTCCAACTCCTCATCCTCCTCTTCCTCTTCCTCCTCCTCCTCGTCCTCGTATACTTCCTCACTCCCGGATGAGCTGCCTGACTCACTGTCGCTGGATCCCTCCTCCGAACCCGACGAGCTCGAAACATACTGTTTCGTCCCTTGTCGAGCTTGTCTCGCATTTCGGTCGCGACCGGCCGAGTCCACAGCATTGCGTCGTTTGTACGGAATCACAGCTTCACGTCCATGTTCTTTCCCAGCAGTCACTGCTGCAGGCTTGTCCTCATCCTGATCGATACCGCCACCACCTCGCTGCTCTGCTAGCCCTGCACCGAGAGGGATATGAGAGAGACAATCTCGGTGTCACGTCACTCACGACATAGTTGTTGGTGCAACAGGTAACAATATACAAGGAGGGTGGCAGCGAAGGCTATGCAACCTCAAAATCAACGACAGAAGTAGCCAGGAACCGCCAACCTTCTATAACGGGCCTGGGCAGCGCCTGCTCGTCGCCACCAACCACATCCAGCGAGAGCCTCCCCGAGGGACTGCCCTTGGCCGCCGCCGCCGCCTTCTCGTTGTTGCGCTTTCCACCACCACGCCCTTCAAGCTCGCCATGTTCCTGCTCGTCGCCACCAGCCACCTCCTGCGAGAGCCTCCCCGAGGGAATGCCCTTTGCCGTCGCCGCCTTCGCGTTGTTTCGCTTTCCACCACTACGCCCTTCAAGCTCGCCATGTTCCTGCTCGTCGCCACCAGCCACGTCCTCCGAGAGCCTCCCCGAGGGACTGCCCTTGGCCGCCGCCGCCGCCTTTGCATTGTTGCGCTTTCCACCACCACGCCCTTCAAGCTCACCATGTTCCTGCTCGTCGCCACGCGCAGACATTCCTAGGCGGCCAGATGGACTGCCAGGATACTCCGCAGCCCTCCCGCTACGGTCATAACATCTACCGCGTTGTCCTGCACGCCTGCCTGCTGACGGAGCTGCGAGGGCGGACATCACAAGAACATTAGCAGTCCAGTGCGCGCTAACCTTAATTGCACGAAGTGGCATCAGTATGATCAGTCGATGCAGGGAGTAACGTGCTACTTAGAAACCGGCGATATTACACAAACACGCACCTTCTTTGACGGGTCCGCCGTCCTCGACCTCCTCGTCGCCTTCAGACGCAGCATGTGAAGTAGTGCCTCTCTTTTGTTGACGGCGCTTACGCCCCTTTCGGTTGTCACGCTTGTCCTCTGACAATGTTACGGGGGAGCACAATCGGAGCTTCAGTAACGGGAACAAGTCAAACACGACGGCAAACCGCACTTACTGGATCGGTCGGAGGTAATTAATCATGCAAGTCTACCTTTCAGCAGATGGTACCAAAGACACGTACCTTTCTGGCCGGCTTTGGGACCGATGTCATCTAAGCGCCTCACGCGCCTCTCCCTTGGTTTTGGAGGGGAGGACACGCCCTTGTTAGCGTATGGCCCAACATCGCCGTCGCTATTTGATTCGTCACCAGATGAAGAGTCCCGTCCTGACTCAACGTCATCACGCGCCGACGACGCATTGTACTTGCGGTACTCGTTAACGATCTCGGCCGTTTTATCTACTGTAACTAACTCCATATAAATTTTTTCCTCCGGCAATTTCGACGAGTCTGCCAAAACGATCGCCCCATCGGGCCCCTTAATCGTCTGACTATCCATTGCAATGTCTAGGTTTCCATTCACGCAGTAGTCTGAGGTGTGGGTTAGTTATGACGTTGCAACCTGACAGCTACGCTTCGCGCACTAAAAAATTGTTGAGCATAGAAGGGACGAGGATCAGACAGGGGCCTGGAGCAGATGACCGTCCCACAAGCAGGCACGCAAGAGGAGCACGGAGGTGACGAGGGTTTGAGCGTTTCCTGCTCTGTTCCACCTTGCGACATCCAGGTCCCTCGTTTCCCCCAACAACCAATCACACGGTGGTTAACGTGCATCCATAAAAAAATTGCGGCTCCAATGGGGCATGATTCAGTGGGAGTGGGCGTTTATCCGTCCATTAGCGGCAGGGAGCGATACAAAATGTTGCTAGTGCTTAAACGTGCGCTAGTGTATTAGGGCTCACGAAATATATCTATTCTGCCCGCACATACTTTATGTGGCTAATTTTCATAGTCTTTCACGCGTGCCGCACGAAGCTTGGCGCAGGCGTCACGTCAATAGTAAAATCGCCACTTCGGAGAAACGGGGACGAACCATTGGCGCAATTCGTACAGCGATGCGACAGTCTGATACGAAGCCGTTATGGAACACCTGCGATAAGAACGCATGCTCGGGAGTTAGTTGTGAGTGGTGGCGATTGGGTCGCAAGTCGGAGAGAACAACGTTCGTGGCAATGAACTGAGGTAAGTGGTATGGCGCACGGGGGGCACAAAATGACACATTTATTTGCAAGGCTGCAATACAGTGTTGAAAGAACATATAAATCATTACTACCAAAGGAATGTTGAGCTGTCCAATACCGTACGTTTACTCACAAGTATGAGCACCGACAGTGCATAACCAGACACATCCTTCACGGGCCAACTGTCAAATTGTTTAAGGAGAGCAGTGACCCTGTTACCTTGATTGTTGTTTAAATATGGTCTAGGTAAATAATATATTGGTGTCGCAACAAGGTAGCTACTGGTATGTCATTTGTGGTGCAACATTACCAGTGCCATACACAAACAGTTGGGCTGAAAAGCCCTTAGGATCTTTGCAGGGGTGAACTCTGGGTAGACTTGGTGTAGTAGCGGAAGCATTAATTAAAGTGTTGTGAACCACCTTGCGCTAGTATGTGAGGGCAAAGTAAGTTGATTAAAGCAAAGAGATACAAGATTATATAAGAGTACAAGGAATACGAAGAGATACGGTTGCAACTACTTTACTTTTGCTGTTGCGGTTCGATACAGTGACGACTCGGGCAACTGCTCTGCAGCGAGTCAGTTGTGTGTCCTTGCTGTCGCGCTGTACTTGTCAGGTCAAAGGTCGCTGACCTTTGACCTTCGCGTAACCTCCGACAGTTACTTCAACCTCCGAGGGCTGACTCGCTGGTGCTTCGATACTGTAGTGTTTTGCTTCGTTTGTGTCTTGGTGTTTCGACACGACACAGGCGCTTAGGACCGATTGTTTCCAACACAAACTCCCATCATGGGGCGTGTCTGCACTCTTGTCCTGTAGGGCAGCTATAGTGCATAAATCAATTGCTTGTGTTGTATGTTCTTATTTCATGCTTGACAGGAGGTGATAAACACTTGCTGTTTGGTCACGTGAGTGATGGGGACTGTTTCGAAGCCTCACCCACGAGTTCTGTGACTTGCTTGTTGGCTTGTCACGATGGACTGGACGGTGGGACAAACAGATCCTCCTTATAGGTCTTGTTTGACAACATAGGCCCAATAAGTTCACCCTACGCTGAGACCTGCTACCCGCCTCATCCCCTCCTGCTCCCTGCTACCTGCCTATGCCTCATTCCCCCTTGCTACCAGCCTCATTCCCCCTTGCTACCTGCCTCGTTCCCCCTTGCTACCTGCCTCATTCCCCCTTGCTATCCACCTCATGCCCCCTTGCTACCCTGCTCATTCCCCCTTGCTACTTGCCTCGTTCCCCCTTGCTACCTGCCTCATTCCCCCATGCTACCAAACTCATTCCCGATTG